TAGTAACTTCTCTATCTTGGTCTTTCTGCTTCTGACCTTGCCCCATTTGTCTGTTCTCAACAAGCAATAATTCTTTTTTCCCTTAATTTTTCATCTTAAAATCAGACTCAAAGGAAGTTGCCTATTTAGCACGGAGAGTTCCCATGTACCCTTTAGTCAATTTCTCCTACTAGTTACATCTTATATTCTAGTACTGTACAACAAGCATGTCAAACTCGAGGCAAGTGGGCTGCATGCCTCGCCAGCCGCGAGTTTGACATGCTTGCTGTACAATATCAAAAGCAAGAACTTGACATTGATACCATGTGTATGTATATGTTTTATGCCATTTTATTACATGTGTAGATTTGTGAAACCACCTTCACAATCAAGATACAGAACTTCCATCTTCCACATACTGCCCCTTTATAGTCACACCCGCTTCTTTCTTCTTAATCATCCCTAAACCCTGGAAACCACTGACTTTCCTCTATACTTTTGTCACTTCAAGGAGTTATACAGTGTGTGATCTTTTGAGATCTCCCCTTTTTTGTTTACTTATTCTTCTAATTACTGAAGAGTATGTCAGTTTCCCTCTGTTGTGGATTGTCTAGTCCCCTCCCATCCCCCAGTGTACTGTCCTTATGGCCTGTCCAAGTTGTTGCACGTGTCATTAGATTTATTGCTGAGTAGTATTCTATGGCATTGGATGAGCCAGACTTTGTTTAACTGTGCATCTGTTGTAGGGAATTTGTTTGTTTCCAGTTTTGGTTATCACAAATAAAGTTGGTATGAGCAATCTTGCATAGGTTTTGTAAGCAAATCCTGTTTGTGTGTTAGATTGGCCAGCAGTTTTCCTTTGTTATAATGTTTTGCCTCTAAGGTTATGTTGGTCTCATAAACTGAGTTGGAGATTGTCCCTTCCTTTTTTGTTCCTTGTAGGAGTTTGCATAAGATTGATGTTATTTTTTCCTTAAATGCTTGCAAGAATTTATTATTGAAGCCATTTGAGCACTTGGTTTTCTTTGTGGGAGGGTTTTAAATTATGGATCAAATTTACTAAGTAGGTATGAGACTGTCATCCTCTTGTGAGAGTTTTGGTAAATTGTTTTTTTCTACGAATTTATCCATTTCATCTAAATTTTAAAATAGTTTTATAAATTTACCTTCTTTGGGTGTAATTTGCTATTTTTCCTTTAAGCCCAGATTTATGTGTATAGTACACGCTTTTTTGGGGGTGAGGGGAGGGATCGTATAGCCAAGGTGGAAATTTATTAAAGAACAAGTACAGACTCCTATGTGGGGAAGGGGAAAGAATCTCACAGCACAGACTCCCACGTGGGGAGGGGGAAAGAGTCCCTAGTACACGCTTTTGACATTAGTATCTTTATTATCACTAGGTTAAAACTATCTTTTATTTTCCCTTATTATCAGTTCTTTGACACATGAGCTATTTAATACACACACACACATATACATATAAATTTATTTATTTTTTTTTGGTTACTCTTCACCTGAGGATATTTTTTCTGTTGATTTTTAGACAGAGTAGAAGGGAGGGGAAGAGACAGAGAGAGAAACATTGATGTGAGAGAGACACATCAATGGTTGCCTCCCACACACCCACCTGGAATCGAACCCGGGACTCTTCAGTCCACAGGCTGATGCTCTATACACTGAGCAAAACCAGCTAGGCTATTTAATACATTTTTATTGATTTCAGAGAGGAAGGGAGAGGGAGAGAGAGATAAAAACATCAATGATGAGAGAGAATCATTGATAGACGGTCTTCCCTGCTGCATGCCCCCCTACTGGGGATCGAGGCCGCAACGCAGGCATGTGCCCTGAACGGGAATCGAACCATGACCTCCTGGTTACTGAGTCTACACTCAAAAAACTTAACATCTATAAGAATAAAGAATATTCTTTATTCTTTGTTGTCATTGCTTAATTTCCAGACAGGAAAGGATTTTTTAGTTACCACTTTATATTTGAGTTCCCACTTATTCTACTATAATCTGAGAACATGTTTTGTTTGATTTCTATCCTTTGATTTTTTTTTTTGAGACTTGTTTTATGTTCCAGTACTTAGTCAGTTTTTGTAAATGATTCTGTCTGAAAAATTATGTACGTTTTGCAGTTGTTGGTCCGAATGTTCTTTATGAACATTTTGCAGTACATTTGTTCGTTGTGCTGTTCAGATCTTGTACACCTATACTATAGTTTTGTTTACTTGTTCTTCTGATTACTGGAAGAGTATGTCAGTTTCCCTTTGTTGTGGATTGTCTAGTTCCACTTGCAGGTCTATTTGTTCTTAATTTATATTATATTTTCCATTTTTATAATTTTGGATCTTTTATAGTTTCAGATTTTCTTCCAGAAATTCTTCTAGTTTTTATTTTTTACTTTTAAATTTCTTTAGCATTCTGATTATTCTTTTTATTAAAGTTTGTTTTTGAAAGCTCCATCATCTGGGTCTCTTTTGGTTCTGTTTCTGTTGTCTGCTCCTTCCTTGATTTTTGATCATAATATCTTGTCTTCTTATGTACCTGGTTATTGTAAATGCTGGAGACTTAAAATGAAAAAATTGTGGAGAATTTAAAGGCTAGAGTAATACTATCTTTCCCCAGGGCAGATTTATACCTGTTTCTGGGAGATGGTTAGTGACTTTGGCAATCCTGGGTCATTTTAATGTAATCAGGGAAGAAGGTGATTTGAAGTTAGGCTTCAGTCCTCATGAGAGCCACAGTGGGGAGAGATTCAACAGGCCTTCCCTTGGCGGTCCTCACACTTCAGTTTTTGCCCCCACAATCCTTACTGGCTGTTTCTGGACTTGGAAGATGCCCCTAGAGCAGTGGTCGGCAAACTGCGGCTCGCGAGCCACATGCGGCTCTTTGGCCCCTTGAGTGTGGCTCTTCCACAAAATACCACGTGCGTGCGCGATTGAAACTTCGTGGCCCATGCGCAGAAGTCGGTTTTCAGCCTGGGAGAGTCTATTTTGAAGAAGTAGCGTTAGAAGAAGTGGGGTGTGTCGGGTCCATCATTCATGCAGGAGTTGAGTGAGCCAGTCAGTCAGCAGTCTCAGTGCAGTGGTTAGTGCTAGTCGCGTCCGCAAATTGCGCGCGGGTGACAAAAGTACCTACTCGAAGCATAAATTTACCTGTATTTTTCCAACCAGCTGCAAATCCTACAGGTATTTTTGTCATCAATTTAAGAATAGACGAAACAAGTATACAAGACGAGTGTGGATGGGAGATTTGGAAGGAGTTGACCCCAGTGAACGTACCTCAATCAGATTGAGGACGTTTTTAGCAAAGGCCAGCTTAGGAGTACCCTAATTAAGTTAATAACAATGTACCTACCTATATAGTTTAAGTTTAAAATATTTGGCTCTCAAAAGAAATTTCAATCGTTGTACTGTTGATATTTGGCTCTGTTGACTAATGAGTTTGCCGACCACTGCCCTAGAAGAAATGTGGCCCTAATGCAGGGCTTCCTTCATCTCCCAGATCTAACTAACTCCATAGTCTTTACTGTCTGGGAACATATTTTATTCTACATTTTGTCCAGTTTTTCTAATTACTCACATCAGGAAGGCTTTTTAAATTTACTTACTTTCTTATACTGGAAGTGGAACTTCGATATTTTGTAAAAGTTCCTCTGATGAATTTGTGGCAGCTTGGGTTCAGAACTACTGCCTCTCCTCATCTTCTGCTGTCTTCTTCTCCTGGGTCAGGTGACTCCAACCACTCAGGCCTTTATTCTGTTTCCTAGCATGTTCCTCCCCTTTGTACTTGGCTATTTTCCTTGCTTGGGGCTCATTCCCTAATAGTGAATAGCTCATTCTTATTTTCCTTAAGTCTTCATCAAAGGGTCACACATATCAGCAATACCTTTTTGATCTTTCTGATGAGCACTACAAACAAAACAGCAACACCTCATCCCCTTTAAGCCTCTTATTTTTTTTCATTGTGTTCAAAACTATAGGACATGCTGTAATTCCTTTCCACCACCTTGCATAAACTTTTTATTTTTTGCATAAACTCTTTGAGACATTGTTTTGTTCTCTTGTCCAGCATCTAAAATTATCCTGCACATAGAAAATTCTCAGTTAATATTTGTTACTGAATGAATACATACATGAAATTATAATGAGGATGATAGAAGTACATGCTTTAAGGGTGATGATTAAATAAATTAATACAAGTAAGATATTAAAAACAGTGCCAGGCATATAGTAAGCGCACTCATATTATTTTTAAAAATTATTGCCTCTCAAATGATCACTTCTCATTTCTAGATATTATATAGATTGAAAATGACGTGCGTTTTATAAAACAAGCCCATTTCTACCCCCTCCCCCACGCCTATTACTATTATGGTTAGCCCCAGATTTACAGCTGTTCTACAAGGGCTGGGACGGGAGAAGGAAGCTTAATCCGTGGAACTTCGTAGCCGGAGGATTTAGAGATGAGATCTATGCTTTTAAGCATTTGTGATTTCTGCACAATCAGGTAGCAGCTTTTAATGTAACTTAGTGAACAGTTGAGTGATTGAGTAGACTGTGTTCCCTTTGAACTTTTCTCTCTTAAAGAGGGGACATTCCGGGATACTGGCACATAGGGTTTTTTTTGTGGTTTTTCTTTTAATATATTTTATTGATTTTTTTTACATAGAGGAAGGGAGAGGGATAGAGAGTTAGAAACATCGATGAGAGAGAAACATCGATCAGCTGCCTCCTGCACACCCCCCACTGGGGATGTGCCCACAACCAAGGTACATGCCCTTGACCAGAATCGAACCCGGGACCCTTGAGTCCACAGTGGCACATAGGGTTTTATATAGTGCAGATGAAATACAATACTAAGCAGATAAGCAGATAGTGCCTTCTGTAGAAGAGAACATCGAGATTTATAGACCTGAGCAGTAAGCATTGACTCAAGCAAGTGTAAAGTCAGTGTTTGCCCCAAGAGACAACAAATCTTGATGATTAAAGAATATGTAGTTAATGTTAGTATACTTACAAGGTCTCATTAGAAGTATCTGGAAATCCTGTGGCATGAATCTCTTGAGTATAACTTCCCTTTAGGAAAAACCCATAACCAGTTTTTAAGTTGAAGAGACAGAGTTCTTTAAAATACTTGGAGAGGTTGATGAGCTTTTCTCTGATTGGTTTTAACCTGGACAGCAAAGCCTTTGCCTGACAGCATTATAAACTAGCTGCTTTACCCAAGAAATTGCATATCATTTAGTTTTGGTTCATACCCATTATGATGTTTCTAAGTCTTGTGATAGTTTTAAAGATACAAGACAAGGGCAAAATATCTTTGACCTTCATTAGAGCACTAAGAAAACATGTGAAATAGCCAATGACACACTACCACATGGGACGCTTTATATTTCTGATACCATAGAATCTCTTAGAAAGTTGAGATGAGAAAAAAGCTGAAGAAAACTTCATGGAAAAGATGAACTGTAAATAAAATCTTAAGTAGGGTTTGACTCGACAGACAGAAGAATATTTTGTAATGTGAGAAATAATCAGATTTCCAAAAGCCTAAGATTTAACATGTGAGCTTTAAAAATTTATACAAAGTAATAAATGTTAAGTTATAGAAATACTTGAAAAGACATAAGTAAAAATAAATCCTAATACCAGAGAACACTACCTTTAACATTTTGATATATATCTTCCCAGACCTATTTCTGTCCATGCATAAACAGATGTGAATATATACATAGGTGTTTGTATTTGTGTATATAAATGAATGGGAAAATAAATATTTATAAAAAGGGATAAATTGTTTCATAAAGATTTACTTTAGAAGTTTTTGCTATTACAAAATGATAAATACAGTAATTTAATTGTTCAATGAAAGAGTACTATGGTCTTTGTGATTCCTAAGGTTTCCCTTTCTGAACATAGTATATACATTTGGTAGAGGAAATAGAATCATTGTTTTGACTGATAATGAATCTCTTGTAATTGTTTAGGTGCTGGATCTTCAGCTTTGAAAAGGCCATTTGAAGATGGATTAGGAGATGATAAAGATCCCAATAAGAAGATGAAACGGAACTTAAGGAAAAGTATGTAAAATCTTTATTCTTATAGATGTTAACTAGAAAAGACTCATAGTCTCAGGAAATGAAAATTTTCATAGTGAAGAATTTGATTGATTTGAATTGGGGTTTTTAGAATAAATCTTCACTGAGAAATTGATGATTAAATAACTTCTTTTGTTTCCAAGCTTCATTGCTTTGAACAGCAATTTTCAACCTTTTTCATCTCATGGCACACATAAATAATTACTGAAATTCTGCAGCACACCAAAAGATATATATTTTTCTGATATGACCAAAAAAAGGGATAATTTTGATTCATTCACACCGGACAGCTATTGTGTTGGCTGTCGTTTTTCTATTTGACAATCTAAGGGAAAAACAGGTCAGTGCCCCTGACTAAATAGTTAGGTATTGTATGCTTTAAAAATTCTTGTGGCACACTGGTTGAAAATCACTGGTTTAGGGTATATTAATTTTGCCAAATGAAAATTAATGTATAGCTATAGTAGTGCATATTATTTTTACAGTGATGTTAGCATAATAATTTAAGGAGTAATTTTATAATCATATGAAGTTATTTGTATATTTTTTTTAATTCTTCTTTTAAAAACTCTGATGAATTTATAGTGATCACTAGGAACCTACAGATGCATAGATTAAAGCAAAAATGGTTTAATATCTGATCTCTCTCTCTCTTTTTTTTTAACAGTTCTGGATAGTAAAGCAATAGATCTTATGAATGCGCTAATGAGGCTAAATCAGATCAGGCCTGGGCTTCAGTATAAGCTCTTATCTCAGTCTGGCCCTGTCCATGCCCCAGTCTTCACAATGTCTGTAGATGTGGATGGTACAACATACGAAGCCTCAGGACCATCCAAGAAAACAGCAAAGCTTCATGTAGCAGTGAAGGTACTGTATGTCTTTTACTTACTAGTGCTTTGCTATTTTATGTTGTAAATAAGGTGTTTATTTTCCTATAGTAAATTAACAGAACTTTTTTTAGATTTTAATAATATAAAGAGTTTTGTGATCTCTGGTCACAAAATTCTTTTTTGGTTGTAAAATATGTGTTGATTATACAAAATTTGGAAAACACAGAAGAAAAAGAAATAAAAATGTTAGTTGCATATTTCTGAGACAGATGATTAATATTTATATATGTTTTATTTATCCAATTTTACCCTCTGATTTTCTTCATTTAACATGTCATGAATGTTTTCCCATGTATTAAAAGCTTCATAAATAATATTTAATGGTTGTTTGAGTAACATGATATGGATGTAATATTATTGTTGTTGTTTTTTTTTTAATTAAATCTTTATTGTTCAGATTGTTACATTTGTTCCTCTTTTTTCCCCCCATAACTCCCCTCCTCCCAGTTCCCACCCCACCCTCCGCCCTCACTCCCCACCCACTGTCCTCATCCATAGGTGCACGATTTTTGTCCAGTCTCTTCCCGCATCTCCCATTCCCCTTTCCCCCTCCAAGAATAGTCAGTCCATTCCCTTTCTATGTCCCTGATTCTATTACAATCACCAGTTCATTCTGTACATCAGATTATTTATTCACTTGATTCTTAGATTCACTTGTTGATAGATGCATATTTGTTGTTTATAATTTGTATCTTTACCTTTTTCTTCTTCTTCCTCTTCTTAAAGGATACCTTTCAGCATTTCATATAATACTGGTTTGGTGGTGATGAACTCCTTTAGCTTTTCCTTATCTGTGAAGCTCTTTATCTGACCTTCAATTCTGAATGATAGCTTTGCTGGATAAAGTAATCTTGGTTGTAGGTTCTTGCTATTCATCACTTTGAATATTTCTTGCCACTCCCTTCTGGCCTGCAAAGTTTCTGTTGAGAAATCAGCTGACAGTCATATGGGTATTCCCTTGTAGGTAACTGAGTTTCTTTCTCTTGCTGCTTTTAAGATTCTCTCTTTGTCTTTTGCTCTTGGCATTTTAATTATGATGTGTCTTGGTGTGGTCCTCTTTGGATTCCTTTTGTTTGGGGTTCTCTGCGCTTCCTGGACCTGTAAGTCTATTTCTTTCACCAGGTAAGGGGAAGTTTTCTGTCATTATTTCTTCAAATAGGTTTTCAATATCTTGCTCTCTCTCATCTTCTGGCACCCCTATATTTCTGATGTTGGTACGCTTGAAGCTGTCCCAGAGGCTCCTTACACTATCTTCGTATTTTTGGATTCTTTTTTCATTTTGCTTTTCCGGTTGGATGTTTTTTGCTTCTTCGCATTTCAAATCTTTGACTTGATTCTTGCGCTCCTCTCGTCTGCTGTTGAGTGTCTGTATAATATTCTTTATTTCAGTCAGTGTATGCTTAATTTCTAGTTGGTTCTTTATCACAACATCGAGGTTCTCAGATTTCTTGTAGATCTCATTAAGTTTATCGGCAGTTTCTAGAAAATTATTGAAAGACCTTAAAAGTGTGGTTTTGAGCTCTATATCCTCCAATTCTGACATTTGTGTCCTGTTTCTTTGTCTCCACATTTTTTATGCTTTCTTGGTGCACCCCCTAGTGGTCTTTGTGCGCAGTCTTGTTGTAGTTAAGCCTTGATTGTTGTAAGTAACACAGGGAGGGATTGGCCTCCAGGCCAATTGGCTGTGAGAATCAGCTGTGTCTGCAGTGGGAGAACTTCTGTCCTGGAGCTTTAGGGAGGTGCTAATCTAGCCTCTGCCTGAGGCTATCCGGCAAATGCCTCTGTGCAGGGCTTGGGCGGGGTGGGTCCCAGGGGATCTACAGGGCGGACGGAAGGAGCAGTTATGGCTGCTCTCAGTCCCGTCCCCAGGGGCTCTTCCTCTCAGAGTCCCAGCAACAGCTGCAAACCTCGGAGAGAAAGCTGCTTTTGAGTTCCGACCGAAGCCAGACAGTCCCGCTTCTCCCATTTGAGTCTGGGTCCCTAGAGACTCGCCCGGATCTGGAGCTCAGAGTCTGAGACTCCCTCCCGATTGAAACAGACAGCCGCACCCTCAGCCGCCAGCCCGCTCCGCATGCACTCCGCGCCTTTGTATTTACTTCAGCACTGCGCCTCCTCTGAGTCTCGGTATGCTTTTCTCTTTCCTCCTAGTTGTAGAACTTCCACTCAGCCAGCCTTCCTGTGGTTCTGGATGATGTCCGTTCCGTCTTTTAGTTGTATTTTTGAAGTGGTTGTTCAAGGCAGCAAACTCCGGTGTTAACCTATGCCGCCATCTTGGTCTTTCCCATATTATTTGTTTAAACATTTCTTTATCATGGGATATTTGCTATTTGCAGATTTTTTCTGTCATAAATTTGATCATTGTCTTTGTGCCTGGTGCCTTTTCTGTGTTTCAGAGGATTTACATAGGTAATATGGTACAGGATTGAACCAATTAGTCATTCATGTAGGTTTGTAGAAAATTCCTAAATATTGGAATCCCTCTAAGAGCACATTTGACCTTTTGTAGACATATGTGAAAATGTCAAAGGCTATGTAGACTGAAGATAAGTTTTTCACTTAAAAGTTCTGTTATGTAACAATCTGGCATAAGATATAAATGGTCTGTTTTCATGATCATTCCATTTTGCAAGAAGTGTTATTAATGTAGATGCAGATATTATCCTAGAACTAAGGATACAGCAGGGAGCAAAGTCTTTATCCTCCTGGAGCTTGCATTCTAGTGTGATACGTTGGGGAGACAGACCACAGATATATAAGTGAGTAAGTTACATGTCAGGTAATAATAAGAACAATGCAGAAAAGTAAGAACTAAGCTTTAATAATATAAAACGATATTTATGTTCTGTCTTATTTATAAAAGGAGTACTTCAGGTGTGTTGAAATAGGCAGAAGAAGAAAGCCAAGAATGAGGGAAAAGGTGAAGCCAGGAATAAGGCTAAAAATACAGTTTGATAATTTAGCTATAATGTATGCTGAGAATGAGTCACAAATATAGACCTAGGTTCTCTGGCATCTGACACAAAAGCAGGTGAAATCTTGATCCACTGTCTATGACATAAGAATGGACAGTTGACTATGAGAGGCACAGTTGTTCTGGTATAAAAATCAGGTGGGCATTCTCCTTGGGTAGGCCTTTGTAAGAAGGAATAGCATGATATCTTTTAAAAGATGCCTATGGTGCAGAGATACAGTTTGTGGTTGTTTTGTAGTAACCTTTAATACTGTATAAACTAGAGGCTTCATAGCAAATTGCAATTCAGTAAAATTTGGGCGAGTTAGTAGAGTGGTACATTTTGCAATATGACAAGATTTAGATGCTATGTGTTCTCATAATAACTATTAACATTTTGGTATGTATTTTTCCAAATCCCCCCCAACTTACAATTTCAAAATCCAAAAAGCACTAAAAATGAAAAATACTTTTCTAAGTTTGATGCAAACTCACTTGATGGGAAAACTTGACTAGAATTGATGTGTGGCTATTTTTAGTCTTTATGATTCCATTTAATGTGAATATTTTATCTATTTCTTTGCCCAAACATGGGGTAGCACCTGAAATACCACTGGAGATTTAGAAAATATATGGTAAATATATTGTAGTAGCTTTCTAAACTCTGAAAAGTTATACATTCTCAAAACAATCTGGCCCCAAGGGTTTTAGGTAAAGAATGATGGGAACGCCCTAACCGGTTTGGATTGGTGGGTAGAGCGTCGGCCTGCGGACTGAAAGGTCCCAGGTTCGATTCCGGCCAAGGGCATGTACCTTGGTTGTGGGCACATCCCCAGTAGGAGGTGTGCAGGAGGCAGCTGATTGATGTTCCTCTCTCATTGATGTTTCTAACTCTCTATCTCTCTCCCTTCCGCTCTGTGAAAAATCAATAAAATATATTAAAAAAAAAAAGAATGATGGGAACTACAAAATATATACTTAAAATAGGATCATGTTTTCTTTGTTCATCTAAAAATATATTGAGGTTTTTTAAATAGTTATCACAAAGATTGTTCTCATTTTTACTGAAAACCTAATATTTCATTACCACTATTCTACTGCAATGTCACTAATCCTTTTTTAAATTTATATGCTTTCTGTTGATTACTTTACATCTTTTTGAACTAGTATGATTCTCCCTTAAGATGTATTCTACAGGTAGAATTACCAGGTCAAGAAGAAAGCCCATTTGAATGATCTGTTAATTCATTAAATATGTATTGAGATTTCTATTAATGTCAGGCATATATTTCCAAATTGTCATCCATAAGGTTATACCACGTTACAAGTTCTATATTAGAGAGTTTTATATCAACATGTGTTTGTGAAAGTAGGTTCCACTTGATAAAATTCCTTGCATTTCTTACTCACTAAGCTTGGTGTAGGTTTCTGTACCTGTTAAGACAAATCACACCATAGAATCAAAACAAGAAGAAACCAATTTCTGCCACAAGAGCCTGGCTGCTCAGCAACAGGAAGCCTACAGTGACCAATCTTCCCTTTCCTCCTCCAGTTATTTCTCCTTAGAGTCCCTCACAAATAACACCTGTAGGGACAAAAGCAGCCATATTTCATGGAAAGAATCTTATTCATTATGGAAAAAAGATCAGTTAGAAGGGGACACGAAGTGAAGGCTCTTTGGAGAGGTTCTGGGAGCTATCAGCTCTCTAGGAGACAGAAGGCATGAATGGGACTTTGTTTTGAGTAGAGAGCCGTGGGGTAGAATGTGTTTTTATGTGTTTTTACTCTTGGCCTCTAGTCTTTTAGGGTGTCATCTTTCTCAGTCTCAACCCCCTATCATGAGAAAAAAAGGGCATGATTACACTGGACGTCCCAGTCACCTTATTTCCAGGACTCATCTTGTGAATTTCAGTTTATTTGATGTGTTTATTAGGTTGGATTTGTTAGCTAGACATTTGAAACCCACCTTTCTTTGGTATAGCAAATTTTTTACCTTAATTTTCATTTCAAACAAACTTTCATTCCAGAAGTCTGAGGACTCTTCACTTTTTTATTTTTATAGCATATACCAGTTAATCTTTTTTTTTAAATTTTATTTTATTGTTTAAAGTATTACAAATAGTAGTACATATGTCTCCTTTTTTTACCCATTGACCTTCCCCCGGCCTCCCCCTCCCCCCCCCCCCGCATATGCCCTCACCCCAGTTAATAATCTTTGAATTATGTATTCCTAGAAAACTACTTAACTTGAATTTTTTTGTCAGTTGAGCTGCATTGCAAGTATTCTGTATCCTTTGATATTATTTGTCAATTATATAAACAATTTATGAATGTATTGAAATAAGTTACTATAATAACAGATAAATAAATGACTTTGACGTCTGAGAAAAGGGCAGAGAAATGGTGCTAAGTAATGTACATGAGGCTATTTTAACTGTCTGTTTTAAATGGGGGGAAACTGCATGTCTCTATCTAGTTTTTATTGGAATAAACCAAATTTACTTGTGACTCTGGCTTTTGACTTGCAGCTTGTTAGCTAGTGTTAATTCCAGGCTAGTAACTGTTCTCTCATGGATGTGATTTCTGGGGAAGAACATATTCATTCTCAGGACTCAATGAAGCATGCATTTTCCTCAGAAAGCATTGATGAGGTTGTAACCAAATGATGTGAGTGTGTGCTCAGTGTCAAGAACTACCTGACTACTTTTAGAACTCAAGATGTTAAAAAAAGGGGTTCTTGGCTTTATTCCCAATTAATACAAGGAATTTATTTGTGATTTCAAGTGTTCAACAGAATGCCAGATTTTCCATATGAATTGGGTGAATTAATTTCAAGTTCTCTTGTACAGAGTTCTTAGGCTCTTTTTTGTTTAGTGATACTACCTTATCTATATGGCTAGTCCGTCATATCAGATGGCATTGTTTATAAAGGCTGGGCTGCCAGGCTGCTCATTTGTGTGATTATCAGAATAGTTTATTTTTATTTATGGTCTTTTAAAAGCCAACTTTATTGATATAATTTATATGCAGGAAAGCTAATCATTTACTGATATTATGGTTTTTGGCAAATGTTTATAAGCGTGTAACTACCACTTCTGTCAAGATATAAAATATTTTGTCTCACCCAGAAAGTCCTCTCATGTCTCATAGTGGTGAGTCTCCCTCGCCACGTCTCTAGCCCCTGGCATCCTCTAATCAGTTTTCAGAATAGTTGTTTTGAGAGACACCTGTTAGGTATAGCTGGGATTGTAAAGAAATACAATGTGCTTTTACGTTCCAGCAACTTAAAACATTAGTCAAAAGCTAAAGCAAATACAGGGATCTTTAGGAACCTCTCTCTTTATTTTCTGATATAAACCTTTAAATTAGTAACTGACAGTGCCATATCAACCTGTTTAAAAGAGGCTTATACAAGTGCTGGTGAACGTATTTCTCTCGTAAACTGAAAAGCAGTGTCATCTGGAAGGAGGTTTTAAAAGGCACGCCTACGTGTGTGTGTGTGTGTGTGTGTGTGTGTGTGTGTGTGTGTGTGTACACATACAGAGCTCTGAAACCTTATTTTATAAAAGATAAGAAATGCCAGGCATTGACTGGAACTTTAGAAGAATGAACATTGGAGGAAGCCAAGCCATAACCAGTTCTTGTGAGGAAGGGGTGGAAATACAAACCTGAAATTGTTCCTGGTTCACTTCTTATAGAGACTAAACCTAAAGACTGAATGCTTCCTTTCAGGGCTCACTTATGGTTTTAGTTAAAAGCAAAGAGGCCAATAGGAGAAAGGTTCAGATGTTATTTTGTAATTGACTGGAAAATTGGTTTCAAGGTAAAGAAAGCTTCTTGATGGCCTTTTTGTGCTAATTTCTCCTAATGGGTTGAAGCATAGAATTTAGAGGTCAACTAATCAGTCTTCCAGTCTTACAAATTGGAAAATTGAGGACCAGAGGAGAAATTCACGATTAGACACTCCTGTCTTTTCTTCTCTAGTCCAATGTACGGTTTTACGTTTCCCCTCACCTCATTGGTTGAACTTGGCTATTTTCTCTCTCTCTTACCTCCAAATTAAATGAACCAGGAGCAACCTCAGGTTTTCATTTCCATCATCCTTTATTTAAACCTAATTACTCTGTGGAGGCTTTTCCCATTTTTATGGTGATACCCTGGTAGGTAAAACCAAGGATCTGTATATGTATTTAGTACCATCTTGCTCTTCCTACAAGGTATTTAATAGATTCAAATGTTGTGGATTTGAAATTCTTGTCTTTAATATTTCATCTATTCTCTGTGGTTTCTGTTGTTTGAATAACACTGAATCTTAATGTAATTTGTACAGGTATTGCAGGCAATGGGATACCCAACAGGCTTTGATGCAGATATTGAATGTATGAGTTCCGATGAAAAATCAGATAATGAAAGCAAAAATGAAACAGTGTCTTCAAACTCAAGCAATAATACTGGAAATTCTACAACTGAAACCTCCAGTACCTTAGAGGTATATTTATACATTATTTTCCTTAGAAAAAAAAAATTCACTATAGAAAACTTGAGAGCTATGGAAAAATATAAATAAAAATCAAAAGTATATATAAATGGATATATTCCAAAGGCAGGTATTATTAATATTTTGGTTTATTTTCATCCAGCCTTTTTAAATAACATTTTAATTTTTTTAAAATTCTCACTAGATACTTTTTCCTTTTTTTTTTTTTTAAGAGAGAGTGGAAGGGAGGGAGGGGGAGAGAGACAGAAAGAGAAACATCAATGTGAGAGAGAAATATCAATGTGAGACAGACACATGAATTGGTTGCCTACCGCACGCATCCCAACTGGGAAGGGCATTTAACCTGTCACCCAGGTACGTGCCCTTACCCGGGAATTGAACCCTCAACCCTTTGGTGTGCAGGCTGACACTAATTATTGAGCAACACTGGCCAGGGCTCTATAAGTATTTTTATGAGGACATTTTTATGCAGTTTTACATCTTGTTTTTCCCCCCACTTAATTCTAAAAATATCTGTAAAAAGCCCTGGCTGGTTTGGCTCAGTTGGTTGTAGCATTGTCCTGTGTACCGAAAACTTACTGGTTGGATCCTGGTCAGGCATAGCCTGAGTTGCAGGTTCCATCCCCGATGGGGGCACGTACAGGAAACAACTGATTGATGTTTCTCTCATACATCCATGTTTCTCTCTTTCCTTTCCCCTCTCTCTCTAAAAAAAAAATCAGTAAAAACATATCCTCAGATGAGGATTAAAAATTTTTTTAAAAATCTGTGAATATACTGTGTACTGCACAACATGTTTAGCAGTTCCCTTTTGCTGCATTTCCCAAGTATATTAACTATAACTGTAGAGCAGAGAAACAGAAGATCTAGTGGAAGAAATATAGGATTACTTGAACTTGTGCTAAGCTGAAGCAGTGGGTCATCGTTGAGTTGGAACGGCTCTGAGAAAGGCATATAGCTTGACCTAGTATGTTCCTTAGACTCTGGGAAATCCTGGCCTGTGAGCTTATTACAACAGAATGGGGCAGAATCCAAGCAATATATTCACAGCATATTTGGGAATTCACGGAGCCCTTGTTTATTGCATTCTACATAAGGAAAATTGGCTTTCAAGTAACATCAATAGCTTACATTAGCATTTAAAAATTGTCATTTCTAAGAATGCGTATTTATTAAGGACTAAACTCTTCTTAGTACCTGCTTACTACCAGTTGCTGAAGACATGTGTCCAGAGCCTCAAGATGCCCTCAGGCTAGAAGGGCAAAAGACATGTTTATAACTAATTATACTGTAATGTGATAAAGCTCTGTGATTGCAAAATGAATATAATGATGTAAAATCTCCAAGTAGGAAATGATTGAAACTTATACACATGTGAAATCAAAGGAAGTAAAATGTGAGCTAGGTTTTAGATGATGTGTAGGATTTTTTAGGGAAGAGATAGAAAGAAGGCGTTCTAGGTCAGAGGACTAGTAGGTATAGAGGGGTTGTGAAAGGAAATGTTTAGAAGTACCAGGTGGGCCAGTAAGGAGGGCCTGATAGGGACTGAAGCCTGTAAAAAACCATGTTGAGGATAGTAGACATGGTACCTGGCTTCTGAGAAGACTAGTCAGTCATTCACAAGTGGTAGTCACAGGCAGAGCAAGAGGTTTTGCTGGCAGTTTTTGAAATTCTAAGAAGAGAAAGAGCTCATTAATTATGAGGCTCAGACCTTTAAGTTGGGAGGCAATTAGGAAGGAAGAGTGCAGTGTGGCTGCACTAATAGCAGTCACGAGTATATGGAGCTTTTGGTAGTGAATACATCACTGCTTTGTTTCTGTGTGATGTAATAAGGGGGGGGGGCGACACAAAGCCCTATTCTTCATTGAAGTAGGAGTAACTGATTAGAATGCAAATATTTTTATATCTTGACTTATTTTTATAAAAGTGATTTCAGATTTGGGAAGCAGAATGAGATTACCATAGACTAGTTTTTTTAAAAACTATTACCTTTTAAAGCTGGAGACTGGAAATGTAGATTATAAAAGCTCTTCAAAAAACATATTTATTACAAAAGACTCAGAAATATTTATTTTAACTTGTCTTTAAAAAGAGTTCAATGTTTCACTTCTACAGCATCAACCACTTACCAAATCAGCGAGAATCTTGCTGTCCATTAGGTTTATATACATAATAGTTCTTTTGGGCATTCATTTCTTTTTCAGCATTTCTTTCTTTTTTTTTTTTAATTGATTTCAGAGAGGAGGGAGAGGGGGAGAGAGAGAGAGAAACATCAATGATGAGAGAGAATCATTGATTGGTTGCCTCCTGCATGCCCACAACCCAGGCATGTGCCTTTGACTGGAATCGAACTCGGGACCCTTCAGTCCGCAGGCTGACACTCTATTCATTGAGCCAAACCAGATAGGGCTTTTTCAGCATTTCTTGAGCAGTTACTGTGGTGGAATTAAAGACATGATCTCTAACCTCAAAAAGTCCTCAATCTTTGGGTCTTCCTCAAAATCATAGTTGTAGAATTTTGCAGTTTGTTTTACTTTTGGTGCTAACTTCACAATTTGAGCCTTCACACTCTTACGAGAATTACTTTTCTTCCCTTGACTCTTACCTTTTTTAAAGTCAGTTCTTTCTACCATTCCTAGAGTAATTTTTTACAACGCAAATCTAATTAAGAACTTGCCCAGATGAAAGTCTTTTAGTCTTTCCACTGTCCATGATAAAGCAAAGCCTGTGTGCCTGATACACAGTGATTATGATCTGGCTCCAATAGGGGTGTTTGCAGTGTGAGGTTCTGCCTTATTCTTCTCACCCCTTCATTCAGCCAACTGAACCTCCTGCCGTTTCTTCTGTCCAGAATGCCTTTCTCCTTTGTTTCCTCCTCAGGATGGTCTGGCACTTAGCTCCCTTTTATGGGTAGGTTCACATGGTCACTTCCAGGGAAGTTATCCTGATAGCCCTAGAAAGTGATTCTTTCTATTGTGTTTCCATAACTTACATCTCTTCTGTAATATACATTGTTTTACAGTGATTATATCTGTCCCTCCCACTGCACTATAGCTCCTTGCGGACAGGGAATGACAACTTTTATTGTTATTTTAAAATTTCAGAATCCATAGTTTATAGCTCATTGTTTTATTTTGTTTTTACTTTAGGTACCCTTAATCTCTTTAGAGATTCTGAAAGGTGTGAATGGGCATTTTCTTCCAATCTCCTAAATTGAGTTATTTTTTCCTAATCCTAACGATGAAAAAACAGTGAACACTCATTTGAATCTCAGCAGTTCTATCCACTTTGTTAGTAATTTAGATTATTATTCTTAGACCATGAACATCACAGATCAGACTCAAGAGTACCATGTACAGTAGGTCCTCGGGTTACGTCGGAGATCCGTTCCCACGGCGCGACGTAAGGCGATTTTCACCATAAGTTGGAACCCACCTACATAAACACCTACATCACTCACATGGAGCACATACACAGCAGTAATTAAGTGAAACAGTAAAAAAAAAAAAAAAAAAAATTTAAAGAAAGATAACAATTCCTGACCTTTACTTGTGGTAAATAAATAATAAAAAACATAAAGCACATATGTACATAAGTCAAAATGAGTCATTTTTTTTAATAAGTAAATGGGAGATGGTGACGTAACCACGAAACAACGTATGTCGAGTCTGACGTAACCTGAGGACTGCCTGTAATGGCAAGATTACATTACTCTTGAATACTCTTCTATTGGGACAGCCCTGCTTTAAAGTCAGGGTGTGCAGATGACTGCCTGACTGGGATGTTCACTGCTTGTAGGGTTTTCACACCTTTATAGATACTTTGTCATTTGTATATGGAGGTGCTCATGCCCTAGCTCCTGAATGCTTTAAAATACAATTTTGAGCCTCTGTTTCAACAAAGACAGTATAATTGTATAATAAGAAATTTAATACTTTGAAATCTTGCTTGCTTGAACCTCCTTCTAGGTAAGAACTCAGGGCCCTATTCTCACAGCAAGTGGCAAAAATCCTGTAATGGAGCTCAATGAAAAAAGAAGAGGTCTGAAGTATGAACTCATCTCGGAGACTGGTGGAAGCCATGACAAGCGCTTTGTGATGGAGGTGTGTATCTAGATACAAGCCAACCTGTTTTGCCCTCAGACACGGAGGACATCCTGAGCTTATACATAAATAGACTGAGTCTATTCTTGTGGCACTCTTTGACTTTTGGTGTTTTCTGTGTTATGATCCATTTAAATTAAACTACATAGAGGAATTGCATGGGCTAACTTCAGAGTGTCATTCTTGATTTTAGGTAGAAGTAGACGGACAGAAATTCAGAGGTGCAGGTCCAAATAAGAAAGTGGCAAAGGCGAGTGCAGCATTAGCTGCTCTGGAGAAGCTGTTTTCTGGACCCAATGCAGCAAATAATAAGAAAAAGAAGATTATCCCTCAGGTATGAGTTGAGCATTAATAACTTTGAAAAATATTTCCAGAATTAAGTTTCCTTTTCTGCTTTTGTGCCCTGTTAGCTTTTTAAAAAAGTATTTGTTTTTCTTGGATTTAGCAATCTTTTCTTTGGGTTAGGTTATTAATAATATAAATGTGTCAGTAGGTCCCTGTTCCGTGGTTGTCTTAGGCAAATTATATATTGAAAAGAGAATGTTAGCATTATTTGGGGGCTTCAGGTCTCTCTTGATGAGGTGGAGTGTTAAGGGATTTGGACTTGAATGAGATGTTAGCATTTGTCTGGTTTAGGGAAGCTGCCAAGAGGACTTGGGCTTACTTTCATCAGTCTGCAGATGCTTTTCCATTTCCTTTTCAGTTTTGAATTTTTGCAGCATTTATTTTGGGTTTTCTGTTGGAGATGACACAGTAGAACTTGACCCTGTGTTGCTTCTTCTGTTGATTGGGAATGTCAGTGCTGCAAAGGTCTGGAATTAACAAGATATTTGGAAAAGATGGCGTCCTAATTCCATGCTTTTGGATAACAGATTCTTCTAACCATTTTTTTTTTAATGTATTCAAAAATATTTTCTAGACATATACCATGTGGATGGTTGTGAGGGAAAAAGATACAGAAATAAATATAAGACACATTCCTTCGTGGAGAGTACTTGTGTAATAATATCTGAATATATTAGGTGATAGGAAAAAGCAATTAAAATAATTAGATTAATAGAAGGAAGCTTGGGTTATTTAAGATTGTGTGTTAAACAGTTTCTTTTACATATGCTAAGTCTATTATAGGGCGGAAGAATTGATCTCACTTTATTGATGAGGAAACAGGCCACTAAGAAATTAAGATACTGTGTGTAGCAACATAGCTGATTGATGGTAGAAGTTCCTTTTAAAACCAGGGTCTTCTCCTTCCAAAGACATGGGCATTCTACTGTTGCATATAACATCTTAAAAACTTGTTTTGTGTTTAACTTATTTTATTTACTATAATAAATTGCTTAAATTTTAGGATTCAAAATATAAACAAGTAAGACTAACTTTTACTGAGATTAAATTAAAAAATAAAGTTTAAATTGCAGAGGAACACGTGTAGAGAGAATAAGTGGATTTTCTTTTCCTAAATCTTATAGAATATGTTCTAAATTAGGAGAAAGATAATTATTACCTTGTTTATTTTGGTGTCTTTTTCCTATGAATTACATCTTGTAATTGGCCAGTTCATGTTTGTGCTTAAAAGCCTACTTGCAGAGACTTTTTAAGTAAGTTTAGTTTTAGTAGGAATGAGCTTAATTTGTGTGAGGTCACTGTTATTGCCAGATTGTTGCTTCCTGACTACTTTTGAATAAGCTGTGTTAAAAAAAAAAAAAAGTCTGCTTGAAGTTCACTCATTTTTAGAAATTTTCCATACTAGAAGCTATAAACCTCCTGTGTTGAGTGTGCTTGACAGCCAAGAAGCAGTCTGTTTTGGATGTGTGGGGTGATTTTTTTTTTTCAGCCAAAAAAAAATGGCAGTTCTCTGTGTATGACATATTCAACCTTGAAACTGCCTCTTTCCAGTTATACTAGCAGAGAGGCTGACCTAAGAGGAGCAGAGGATGATGGTATTTCCATGTGAGATAAATGTGTGTGTGCTCTGAGATACTGTTGGCTTTATCATACAGTGAGCTTTGAGGCTCTATCCCCTTCCCCCTTCCTTATTTGTAGTAGGGAATATTAGTAGTTTCTAGCTTGAGTTTTTGTTGCATTATTTCACTACAAAATAAGTATAATATTTAATTTAAAACTAGATATCCTTTGATTTTTTTAAAAATTTTAGTTTTGGAAAGGGATGTTTTAGCGACCCATGTTTGCTGTTACTCCTTGATTTAGTCAACTTTTCAGAGTTTTATATCTATATTCGATACTGCTCTTTGTACTCTGAAGTAAGGAGAGCAAAAAGAGTATTATTGTACAATTACTAGGGCAACTCTCCTAGAGAGAGATTATGGGACTTTACCAGACTCCATGGCATTTTAGAGCAAGAAAAGACTTTAGAGTTGGTATGTATATATGTATGTACTTATTTATTTAACTAGAGGCCCGGTACACAAAATTTGTGCACTCGTGGGGGGGGGGTTCCCCCCTCAGCCCGGCCTGTGCCCTCTCGCAGTCCAGAACCCCTTGGGGGATGTCTGATTGCTGCGGAGGTGGGAGAGGCTCCCACCATCACCTCTGCGCTCACCAGCCATGAGCCCAGCTTCTGGCTGAGCCGCGCTCCCCCTGTGGGAGCACACTGACCACCAGGGGCCAGCTCCTGTGTTGAGCGTCTGCCCCCTGGTGGTCAGTGCGTGTCATAGCAACTGGTTGTTCTGCCGTTGGCCGATTTGCATATTAGCCTTTTATTGTATAGGATGATTGGCGCACGCGCACACACCCCCCCACACACTCCCGCAACAGAAGAGACAGGCTCAAGGAAATCACATGACCTTCCTGAGGTCTTAGTAACTTAGAGCAGAAACTGGATCCACATCTTTTGTTTTCTGTCTTAGTCCTTTTGTACAAAAACTCCATTCCGGTTTGCAGCTTGTTCTGGGTGGTTTGTTGTTGCAGTATTTTTTATCTGTGGCCGGAGAAGTCAATGGATTTCGATCAAGTGTCTATAATTACTCTAATCTGGCCTCAGTTGAGTTTGGATGTAATTTGATACTGAAATTTGTATGTAGGAAATGAACTCTTTTTGGGTAACCCTCAAGTGAATAGAAGTGATTTGCATATTCTTATGTACTTAGCATATTATCTAGAACAACTCTGTAAGGCAGGTGTCATTTTCATTCTATAGATGATAAAGTGAAGGCTTAAGATCATAGACAACACACTGTCTCATCTACAGGCTCAAGTTTCTCAGAGATAATAGGATAATAGTTCTTATTTCTCTCAGTAATAAAAATGTGTTATTTTTAACAGGCAAAGGGTATTGTGAATACAGCTGTGTCTGCAGCAGTCCAGGCTGTTCGAGGCAGAGGAAGAGGAACTCTAACAAGGGGAGCTTTTGTTGGGGCTGCAGCTGCTCCTGGCTACATAGCTCCAGGTACAGTACAACCTGTAGGAGATCTGCCTCCTTTTTTGGAGGATTGGCGTCTCCTTTATTTTCTAGGATTATACATGGTCTCTGGAAACATGACACGGGTATAGGATGGGTGTGCACAGAAATTGAAAGGAGAATCTACAGAATGTCATGGGTTTTCTCACGGAATCTGCCGAGTGGCTAGAGGCTTCCTGGAGGGAGTGACAGATAAGCAGTGTTGCACATAGATGAAGGGGTGTTTTTTGACAATGAGGAAGCTAAAAGATGTAGCACAGATTGAGGAGCAGAGTGTATTCAGTGGGATACCAAAGACAGAAAAATAGCTGCTAAGAGGTTATTTAATTGGGGTGAAGCCTGGTCATTATTAGCGTTTCCTTAACTCAATGTTTGGGAACCATCACAGACTAAAGAAACAAAAAAAGAGAAAAAGGAGAACTTACTTACACCATGCTATATAGTCTTGCTTAGAGCTTACTATACACCAGATACTTTAAAAAAAATTATTGATTGATTTTAGAGACAGAAAGGAAGGGGGATGGAGAGAAACATTAATTTGTTGTTCCACTTATTTATGCATTCATTGGTTGATTCTTGTATGTGCCCTGAATGGGGATCGAACCCACAACCTTGGTTTACGCTCTAATCAACTAAGCTACCCAGCCAGGGCACCAGATACTTTCATATAAGTGATTTCGCTTAATTGTTTCTAATCTTCACGTGTTTCCTCACATGGAAATTATTTCCATTTTCCAGATGAAACTAGGTTTAGGGAGATAAGGTGAAACAAAGAGTTGAATGTAGAAGTTTGTAGTTCCAAAGTTTCTCTTTCCCATTTTACCACATGCCTTGAGGTAGATGGATATGGTGCCATCTCCTTGCCTTCTGTTCTAATCCATATGTCATTTTAGTGGTAGATACACATGTCCCATTAAAATCAAGTTCTCTGCAATATTGAAAGTATGGAACTTTTAACTTGACAAGTAAACTGCTAGTAATTGTTGCTCAGGATTACTAAAGATTGGGTTTTATGCAGTCATTTTTCAATCTAACACTCCTAAGTTTACATAGATGGTGGGTTTTTTCCAAAGAATTAGAATAGACTATTTGGGAAGTTGTATGGATGATGGGATTTGGTAATTCTATCTTCTGGAGGTTGATCCCAGTAGGGGCTGGAGACACCCCCATTGTTTCTTGCCTGGGCTACTAGTTTATAAAAACCTTAACTTGCCTTGGTCATATTTGTCATATACATAATAGTTCAGTTGCTCTAAAGATGAGACATAACTAATCAAATAATCACTGTTATAGACAGAGATGATTTGATGACGGAGAAGGACATGATGCTACGAGAAGATGTAGTAGAAAACTGCTCTAGTCTGTTGGGTCCCTGAAGAAATAACACCTGAACTGAGCTTTGAAGAATGAGTAGGAGTCAACTTCGGGGAGAGTGTGGGGTGTAAGTTTTACACAGAAGAGAGCATGTGCAGAGACCTTGTGGTCCTGGTGGTAGGGAACTTGGCTCAGTTGAAGGTTTGGAAGGTCAGGATGTAATGTGGAGATCCTTGGGGTGGGGTGGGAGTGAGTTGAGCTAAAGCTGGATGCTCAGGCCCAGTCCTGGAGGCAATGGTTTAGAATTTGTTCTTAGAATCGTAAGTGCAGTGGTATGTCGTGAGGATTCTAAGGAGTGAAATGACAAGATCAGATTTTATTTTTCAAGATCACTCTATAGTGTGAAGAATAGATTGTAGGAACAGAAGTGGGCATGACAAGGCAAGTTAAGGTTTTTATAAACTAGTAGCCCAGGCAAGAAACAATAGGGGTGTTTCCAGTGGGTGTAAGGAAGTAAATGGGTGGCAGGAAGTGAACAGATTGAAGGATTCCTCAGAAGCAAAATTTATGGATTTAATATGGAGAATGAAAAAGAGTGAAGTTTCCAGGATATCTCCTAGGATTTTAAGCTGAAGGAATTAGACTGGATGACTGTGCCATTCATGAAAACAGAGAACACTGAAAGATGCATGTTAGGGACATGGGAGAAAGGATAGTCATAGTTTGGTACTTTCTGTGTACAAAATTAAGACATTCTTCTGTGCATCTCACTATTTCAACTGAAATTTAATTTTTTTTTGGCCTGATTCAATGCATTGTTTAAAGGAAGCAACTTTCACTTAACAACAATAGGCAAGTTACTGAGATTAGCTTTCTTGCCTTTGATTACATGTTCCATTGGGACTTTATCCATTTGTGTCTGTGGTTGCTTAGTCTTGAACATTTACCTCCTGCTTGAGTGGTAAGCAGCCATCGTCCGTCTAGTGCAGGGGTCCTCAAACTACGGCCCGCGGGCCACATGCAAATACAAATATTGTATTTGTTCCCGTTTTGTTTTTTTACTTCAAAATAAGATATGTGCAGTGTGCATAGGAATTTGTTCATAGTTTTTTTTTAAACTATAGTCCGGCCCTTCAATGGTCTGAGGGACAGTGAACTGGCCCCTTGTTTAAAAAGTTTGAGGACCCCTGGTCTAGTGGCCGTAATTGTGAAGGGAAGCATTTAGGTCTGCTGTTAACCAGGCGTGTCTGCTCTGTAGCAACTTCTCTCTTATGTCATCACATTGACCTCTCTGAAAGGCCTGTCTCCTGAAGTTGTTAAAAATGAAGTTCTCTTATAGCCTAGAGAAGATTCACATGAGGTTGGTTTAGAGCAGCCGTGGGCAAACTACGGCCGGCGGGCCGGATCCGGCCCGTTTGAAATGAATAAAACTAAAAAAAAAAAAAAAGACCGTACCCTTTTATGTAATGATGTTTACTTTGAATTTATATTAGTTCACACAAACACTCCATCCATGCTTTTGTTCCGGCCCTCCGGTCCAGTTTAAGAACCCATTGTGGCCCTCGAGTCAAAAAGTTTGCCCCCCCCTGGTTTAGAGTATGAATAGGTTATATGCCATTTGTGGAGTACATGCTGTGCAGCAGGGACTGTAGGTTAGTATTTTTACATATGTTATTTAATTACATTTCACTGCCAACTCAATTACTACAGTAGACTATGAGGTGCAGAGATGTTAAATAACAGGTACAATTCAAAGTCACCTTGCTAGTGAGAGGTGAAGTCAGGATTAGAGCCCCAATGGTTTGTTCAGTGGCCAGCTAAGCAATCTAACCTCATTTCTCTCTAAGGAGGTTTTGGTAAAACCCTTGAAACTGTAGTCTTAGCCAAACAGCCGCCTTTTCCTGGATTTGATGCACAACTCACTTTTTTAAGCATTAATTTCTCTTTTGGCCTCTGATACTGTTCCTACTGCTTATTTCAGCTGCATTGTGTCCTCTTAAAATAACGACTGAGCATCAAAGATTAAGAATAAGATTGAGACTAAGTTGTACTATCCCTAGTTTTATATGACTGAAGTGAAAAAAAATTTACCTTTCAGGAAATGTTTCAATTGGTCCCTAAAAGCAGTTTACTTGTTCAGTGTACATTTGAGTGTTTTGTCTCAAACAGGAGATTTGGAACTGGTCATTCAAAGGTGACCAAGACCTAACGTCTGCCCTAGTGAATGCTTGGGGTCAGGTGGGAGTAGGAACAGACATTGAGGAAACACCATGCAATGTGATGCAAGCTGTAACATGAGTGGGCAGAGAAGTGGGAGACTTCACAGAGGAGGTGATATTTGGTCCTGATCTAAATGATGAGTTGCAGCTGGTCATTAGAGCAGTAGACAAAGGGGTTGTAATGTGAAAGTGCTTGCTTTGTTGTGGGTACAATGTGAAGGGCCCATGTACCTTCCATGCCCTTGTCCTATTTTAGAAACCAATTTTTCCTAGAAACTTACCCAAGTGATTTAGTATTTATATTTTTTAAAGTTGTTTTACTGAAAGATTAAAGATTGTAGCTTCTATTAATATAATATTTCTAATCCCTACAACACTATAAAGTAGCTTGGAAGGTTTTCCATTTTAAAGATGAGAAAACGGCAACTCAGAATTATATGTCTAAGGACATGTAAGAAACTTGTGCCAGAACTAATTGGTTCAAAATCTTCTGTATTCTTTGTATTTGTTTTTATTGACAATATGAGCCTTTTTTCTTTTTCTTTTAAATCTTGAACCTGAGGAAAGCACAGGTGAGAATAGCTTTTTTAAAAAATATATATTTTATTGATTTTTTTACAGAGAGGAAGGGAGAGGGATAGAGAGTTAGAAACATCAATGAGAGAGAAACATCGATCAGCTGCTTCCTGCACACTCCCTACCGGGGATGTGCCCGCAACCAAAGTACATACATGCCCTTGACCGGAATCGAACCTGGGACCCTTCAGTCTGCAGGCTGATGCTCTATCCACTGAGCCATACTGGTTAGGGCTGAGCCTTTTTTCATAGGTACCAGATGCTAATGTCAATTGCACCACTATTTACTGAGAGATCCTGTACTGGGGCCAGGAATTCAGGCAGCAACAAGACATGGACCTTGCCGTCAAGCCCACAGCCTGACCTGTGTGCCCTCCTTAATGGCCGTTGAGGCTCCAGCCTGCTCTGTCACTGCTTTCTGGAAAGAGACTTGAACAGGTCTGTTCTCCAGCTCTGAGAATTGGTCATTTGAGTAGTTCTGAGTGTTCCTTTGTTCAACATATTATATTTAGCCAGTGGTTACTACATTCTGCTAGATCCAGGTGATGCAGAGTGTCTCTGCCTCCCCAGAGGGGAACAGAGAGAGCAAGTCGATAATTATAATAGTGTGGTAAGCATAGTGAGGCAGAGACAGGCTGTTCTGTGGGTCAGGGGAGCCTGTGGACCATGCAGAAAGTTTCCACTCTCAGCAGGCCTGAAGGGATGGGTAGACTAGAGCCAGTCTGGGAATGGTTCTCATCCATCCAGCATCTGGACGAAGTCCTCAGAGCCCACAGTGCCGGGCCCAGTGGTACTTGTGAATTGGACCAATGCCAGCTGCCCTTTGTCCTGGACTGATCTGCTCTCTCTTCTTTGCACTAGGCTATGGAACACCATATGGTTACAGCACAGCTGCCCCTGCCTATGGTATGTACACCGTCTTACTGGTTTCTCCTATTAGCGACTCTGTCACAGCAATCCCAAGTACAGTTTGTATCTAGGGTTTCTTTCAATGAATTGGAGGATCTCAGACCTATTCATTCTAGTGACCCAACTTAAATTCCCTTTGAAAATGCCACAACCTTGTGGTTCTGGGTTTGGTTGGAGTTGCTCTTCTCTCGCTTTGCCTGATTGAAGGACTGCTTGTTTCTAATTGCCTGTTTCTGACCATACTGAAATTAAGTATTTTAAGTAGTTCTTACAGCCAACTTATACTCCATTCAAAGGCTACTGAAGGGCCATACGCAGTTTCTAGCTTGGTTGCCTGCCAGTTATGTAGCTATACTTAAGCTTCTGGTTGGAAACTGAACTATGGGTGATTGAAGTTAGGGATAGGAAATGCTCACTTCAAATTTGTAGCCATCATCCCTTTCCAGAAATCTGCTTTAGAGGTGGAGTAAACAGGTCCTAGAGAGGTGATGGGCATCACCAGCAGTGTTCCCTAATTCATTGCTGCAGAATGTCTGTAGTACATGTCAGAAAATCACAGGAGTGTCCCCTCTCCTTCCAAAAATAAAAAGTAAAAGCAAATGCAGAAGTGAACCTCAGTGGCCCTTTGGATAACTTTTGAATGAGGTTTATGTGGCAATGGAGGCAATAGGTTTGGAGTCAGTGATATGCTCTTAGACATTTTTCCTAACTCAGGTGCTACATGTTCTAGAATCAACCATCTTCAGGGTGTTTGTCATTGAGAGAAGAAGGGAGCAAGTGTGTATGCTTGTGAGAGAGAGAGAGAGAGAGTGTGTGTGTGTGTGTGTGTGTGCGCGCGCAGCCCCTGCTGGGCACGCACGTTCACAAATGGGGAAGACCCTGAGTGTAACGGTGGCTTGGGCTTTTGTTCTCTACATGAGCCCCGAGGCCTTTCATTATACTTTTTCTCTTCATGCATCAGCTTTTCCATTTTTGTTTGGATGAAAATTATGGGTCCTTAAGACTGCTAAATTGAAGCTTCATCTGGTTTCATAACTGTAGAAATAAGTAGAAAGTGAACAGTTTGACCTCTTTCCCATTAAGGTAGACAATTATATCCTGGAAAGATGTGGAGAAGCTGCAAGGGTCAAATGTGTGGGGTGAGTTTCTCCAAGGCAAAGTGCAGAGGCTGGAGTTACTTCCCTTACCCGAGTGTCCCCTCTGGCACACTCTGGTTGGGTCAAGGCTCCCCCAGATTCCCTTGTTCTCAGATTTGGGTGAGTAGGAAGTGGAGATTAATTCAAGAATGTGCTTTCACCCAGGATTGCCTCTGAAGTCAAACTGTCCAGCTCCTTTTGATTCTGGATATCCTGACTACTGCCCCCTTCCTGTGAGTCAGGTCTGCTCAGTGTATCGGACACGTCTGACTCACTAGCCTCACTGTAACGTGTCTGAGCGACAGAGCATCTGCCTCCTAGGGCAGGTCTCCTTCTGTGTCTTTCTTTTGGTCTCAGTCAGTCTCACATTCTTTGTAAGGTTTGCTAGAGCTCTGTTTTTCCCTTTAAAGTAGTTTTATATCTAGGCTCTAAGCTGCATTCACATTTTTCCTCAGTATTTTTAATTTTTCTTTCTCGTTCCTCCCTTTTCTCTAACATTGTACTTTCACCCTGTGGCATCTGAGCCCCACAGCAGAAGGCTCTTCTCCTCCATGTGCCATATAACTGACTTCCAAAGCTGGTGAAATTTGATGCCCCCATTTTTCACATAAAAGATTTGTTTTTAAATGTTACTGTGATGCCAACCTACTAAAATGATGCTTTATTTTGGCTGTAAGGTAAATATGTCTTTTGGCCTTTGTAAAGCTGTTGCATGTGGGGTAATTTCCCTCTGATCATCTGGTGCTCTCGAATACCTGCTGTTGCTGCTTTGTGATTTCTCCATAGGTTAAAGATTAGAATAGAAATAGGAGCAGATTTCAAATCATGCTTGAGTATGCAGAAGTTTGTGAGGCCACAAGAACTCATTAATTACAAAATTAAGAAAGCAATTATTAATCTTTCCAGATTTGCCATGCCAATATTGGCACTAGCCATGAACAAGATAAGCCCCTGGTCCTGACTCCACTTGGAGCTGTCTTTCTGGGGAGCTCAGGCCTGCAGAGAACGATGTGCTTTGGATGTTGACGATCTGTGTTTCTCCTGTAAAACATGATTTGCCAAATGGAGAACCAATATGGATTTCTAGAATCACTTTAGAATATTAATCAATGGCATTGCCTTTGATCTTTAGCATTCATGACAGCTCATTCATATGAAATTGCCTTCTGAATATCATTCTTCCTGTGATTTAGCTATCTTAATTTGAAGTGGAGAATATTATCAAAATATTAAGAGCAATTTCAAAATTGAGAGATTTGTGGGCCTCTTCCAAAATGGTGATGTTGACTGACTAATCTGGAAAAGGTTAATGATAATAATTGTAAGATTTTTTTTTAACCTGGAACTTTTATTGGATTATCAAACTTATTTGGAGTCCTTTCCGTTTCTTTTCTCTGTAGGTTTACCCAAGAGAATGGTTCTGTTACCCGTTATGAAATTCCCAACATATCCTGTTCCCCACTACTCATTCTTTTAGCAAATGACAGAAGCTAATTCCTATTGAACAACAATACAGTACGATACAGAATGTTAGAAACAAAGCCTTTTTATCCTGCTTTCTTCGAACACATACTTGATCAAAATTATTTGTAAAGAACATCTTTCCTACTTTTTGATTTTAACAAATGCAAATTTAGTTCTCTAAAACTTGAAAACAAACAAAAAAAAAGAAACTAGTTCTGTGAAACGGTACCTCATTTCTGGAAAATAACTTATACCAGCCCTTCTGTTGTAGGGAAATAAGTCTAGCAGTTCAAAGTTTAAGAGGAGTATCAGATTATGTAAAATTAAATTTGTGAAGGATGTATAGTCTCAAACACTGATCACAAATAAACTGCTTTGTTGTACCCCAGAGTACTGCCTGGTTCCTGACATAGCCACTGATTCTAGCTGATTGACATGTATCTGCCCCAGGGCACTTTAAGTTGGGCTGTAGTAATTTTTTTTAATACAATAGACTTTTCATTTTACTTTGTAAATATTGAAGTGTGTAATTAAAGCCAATAAAATATGGGTTTGAATATTGTTTTAGCTTATTATTTTTGATATGTTTTGGTATAAAATTATAAGGAATTGAAAACTAATAACTTATCCCTAGAAACCCATCCATTTGTAAGCAAACTGCTAAAGTAAAACCAAGGCGGTTGTGAGTCCCAGCCAGTCTCCTGACTTTGTGAGCCCTTTGTGCCCTGCTGTTCAGGGGCTTCCCCACGATCCGGGGTGCTCTGTTCCCCGAGCATTGCTTATCAAAATGATGGCACCACCCAGAGATGGGAAAGGAGGAATAGGATCATTTTAGTTTCAGAATTCCCTAGTTTTAAAAAATAATAAATTAATTGATCAGTCACCCTCTCTTGTTCTTGTGGCCTTCTTCACTCTGTAAGATACTGTGTTCACTCCCTGACTTTTTTCATGCAGATAGAAGATCAGCAATTTTTCTGGGATTCATTGAAGGGTCTTCTTTTCCTCTTCAATTACATCAGAATCTAAAGCAGCAACAGGGTCCCCATAAAAACTTGCTCTTCGATTGTCCCAGTTCTTGTTGAGTGCTGCTGTGAAAAGTGACAGGTTTCAGCCATGGGTCAGCATTTATTTTTAAGACACCTGGTTAAGCTGGTGACAGATGATGACTGGGTATCATTGTGCTGTTCTGTAAAGGGTGCAGACCTAAGTCTTCCACTTGCATTCTCACCTTGTTTGGAAAGCCTATGATGTTACTAGAAGGTAATGGTTTCATTAAGGTACTCACCCCCATGGAGACAACAATGTGGTCCCATGTTGGTATTTACAAGTTGCTGCGTCTTAAAAATGTCCGTTTTTAGTATGAAATAGCTTTCTTCTTCCCTCTTAAATTCTGTTTTTCAGAGTGGAACACTGCCCATCAGTGAGAATGGGCTTCACAAAATATGGCAAATTGATTGCCAGATTCTTTGGGACCACTAAATGAGAATGAAACGGGCAGTTTAAAACAAATGTTCATGTCACTTCTCAGACATCTATTTATTACAGTGGTTTGTTTGTTACTTCTGCTCTTTGACCTTTTGTCTTATTAGTGGTGGGTGATTCTTTAATAAAACCTCATCACTTGCTAGAAATAGCTGTGAACTTATCATTCTCATCTATGCATTAGTGGCTAGACGTAAACAGGAGGCCCATTTCGGCTGGGAGTTTTCATTTTTCATTGATTCGTTTTGCTGACCTATGGATGAAACAGAGCCATCACTGAGAAGAAAAAGCATGGCTGATAGTGTCCAATTTTTATTAAATATTTACAATAGTCCTCTTGGTTTTTGGAATACTATTAATTGGCAGCTGCAGCTGTATTGTCATTTGAAACTGATCGTCAAATTTGCATTCCAAGTTGGAATCTCTCTGGAGATTTCTCTTTAGAAAATTCTTTAGAAGTAGCTGACTCAGCTTCATAGCTCGATCCCTGTATGATGGTGAAAAGGGAGCTGTGCTGTTTTCCAACATGATGGCAGTCATTTCAAATGGTTTCTACCAAGTCCTTTTTTTTTGTTTGTTTGTTTGTTGGAAGTTACTAACCATGTTGTAAACCTGCCCCGTTGCTGCAAACTTTTACATTTCTCTGCTTTACCTAAAATAACAGAGCTGTCGGTCCTTTGTTAGAAGTGGTAACCATTGCAAGTTCAACTGTTTAAATTTTGTAATGAATTAAGTGTCCCCCCTTCTTTTGCCCTTCCCACCCTTCCATTTTGTAATGAAAATTCCACTTACAGCTGAAAGAGCAGAGAAATATAAATGAAGCTCTTGGCTTCACCAAATTCTGTGAAATTAACATAAAGTTTTGCTTCTCTGCTCTTTTCTCCACTGTAGGTGGTTTTTTCATTGAAAGCCCCTATTGCCAGCCTCTGAGCGTCGCACCATTTATTATTCACTTGGGCCCTCAAGATTTCTTCTCTGACTTCTAGAACCATCAGGTTGTCTGGCTTGAAATGGCAATTTCTATGTCTTGGTCTTAAGAGCAATGTGACCCCTGAGGCTTTCCAGCTCTCAGACACACCACTCTGGTACCTTCTTCTGGAAAGCAATGACTGAACATTTTAAAGATGAGCAATACTTTACTCAAAGCCACGGTGTCTGTTCTAAAACTTTTCTTTGGAAACCTAGCAATATCTGTACTTGACTCCTCCTAGTGTAGTCTCTTGTCAGGGAGTTTACAGACCAATGTAGAACTTAGAATTAGTGTGTGAGCTGTGCTATATCTTCGAACCATTTTTAAACTTTTTTAGCTTATAAATTGGGTAGTTGCATTCCTGACTGCGTCAGTTAGTGCTATTATAATTTCTCAGAGATAGGGGTTCTTGAAGCCATATTCTTTGCATGGAGGCTGGTGCCCAGCTGTGGATGTGGCCTGTAGCCTGTGCTCCTTCAGGCTCAGGAACACCCCATCTCCTGTGCAAGGAAATGGTCCAGTGGTTTCCCACATACCTCATGCAGACTTGCTGCCGTGCCCGGTGCAGTGCAGTGCGGAGTCCTGAGGTCGTCTGTAGTCCTCTCAATCTGTTAACCCAGGGGACACACCTGACAGATTATCCTGGTATTAACCTTTTCTTCTTTTTAAAAATTTGGGTGAATGTTTGAAAATCATGAATCAGTCAGTCACCATTATTAATTGAAGAGCTGGGAATACCTCGTTAATGTATTTTTAAAACTGGTGTTGGACCCTCTGTGTATTTCAGGTTAATACTTTTAAGCAGTTTTCAGCACGTTTATCTCACTTTATTCTCGTTCTCCTCGGACCTTCGTAGCCATATCACTTATATAAAATAGGCTGAGATATAGTGACTGTAAGCTGTGCTCTCAGTATACAAAGGTAAGCTCTTTTACTTTCTGATTAAAGAGAAAAGTAATTAAAAATGGATGAACACAACATGCATGCATATATTACAATCATATATGATGTATTTGATCTCTTAGGTCTTATGGCATCACATTTCCTTTAAAAAATTTTGTATGATCTAAATGTAAAATAATTATTTTCGGCGTTTCTTTTAATACCCTTGTTTTACTTTCTATTCAAGAGACATTTCACTTTTGCTGAGTTAAGTGTGTGTATGAGTGTAGAAACTTAAAATATAACATATGTGAATTACACACACATACCTGTTTAAAGAAAAGAATTCAGTGGTAGAAAGAGTTCACCTAAGAAGATTTTAACATCAGGGCACTCTTGGCCAAAGTGCTGGGATTTCATAAGCAGCAAGGTTGGTGACAGTGCTGGTAGGATGCATTTATATGTAGTTGTTACACAAGCTGAGGATTGAAGTGCCAATTTCTCAAGGAGAAAAACTTCTCTGAGAAATGAAAATCTCTGATCTATGTTGTATGCCCTAATGCAACAGCAGCAAGAAGCCATAAAAAAAAAAAGCAATAGAAAATGAAAAAAACCAAAATATTAAGGTAACTATGGGAAAATATGTAATTGACTGAGTTAAGCTAACTATTTGCAGAACCAAATTTGGCAAGACTCAGAATGGTAAATACCCAGGGACCAAATAGATGTAAGGCAACTCACCTGTCTTTCTAGGTTCGGTAGCTAGGTGATTTATTTCCCACCTCATTCAGCCATCATGGAGTTTAAAATATGTCAGGGTTAGGCCAAATATTTTAATAAGGATTTGCTTTGTTTAGTGTGTCCCATATATGCATTTCACATGTGTCAGATGTTCTGTGCTAAGGCTATGTTTTTTTATATAGATTAAAATGAATTTTATGTTTTATATTTGTCTCTAAGTAGCAGTTTTCTTTTTATTACTAACTTGAAGGTTGCTAGAACAACTTTCTTTTCCATACAGAACCTGCATGTATGTTGAATGTGGCTTTCACATCTATAAAAGGTTGTATGAGGTCTAGCTGACTAGTAGCAAGTACATTCCAGTCCTGCTCAAACAGCCAGGTGCCCATTATGTGCCAGGTCCTTCTCTGGGTATCAGCAAACAGAGCCCTGCCCAGTGGAAGCGCTTTAAGTCTGAGTCTCCTTGTTGATGGAATTGGGCCTACTATAAATATCCTAGCTTGGGAGGCAAATCATGCGCTAGAAATGTCAAAAGATTAACTTATTTAATAGTTTATTTATAAACTAGAGGCCTGGTGCACGAATTCATGCAACAGTAGGGTCCCTCGGCCTGGCCTGCGGGATCAGGCCAAATTCAGCTCTCCGACAGTCCCCCGAGGGGTCCTGGGTTGTGAGAGGGCGCAGGTCAGGCTGAGGGACACCACCGGTGCAGGATCGGGGCCAGGGAGGGACGATCAGGGCTGGGGACGGACATGGGAAGTTGGCCGGCTGGGGAGGGACCGCGGGAGGGCTCCAGGCCATGTCCGGCCCATCTTGCTCAGTCCCGATCAGCCAGACCCCAGCAGCAAGCTAAACTACCGGTCGGAGGTCTGCCCCTTGGTCAATGCACGTCATAGCCACTGGTCGACTGTCTGCCCCCCTGGTGGTCAGTGCACATCATAGCGAGCAGTTGAGCGGCCTGAGCATTTCATTAGCATATTACACTTTGATTGGTTGAACGGACAACCGGACACTTAGGCTTTTATTATATAGGATTAATAATATGGGCCCTCTGACATCACAAAAATGAGCATCCAATGGCAATTCACTCATTTTAAATATTTCCCTGCCAGTTTTGACAGCTCAAAACCAACTCTGGTTTATGTTCATGGATCGCTATCCAAGTAAGTGAACTGAATGAAATTAATAACAAATACCCCAGTCCTTTTATAGCAATTTTTATAATAGCAAATAACAAACTGGCTAATTTAAATACTGACCACATATTTTTTTTATGACAAATGAGGGGAATTTTACCCTTCTAACTATTTACTATTACTCCCCTGTTTCTTGGATCTTATTAATAACTGCAGTGGATGTAAATTTTCAGTAGTGAGTTAGGGGAATGAACTGAGATTCCCTGCACCCCATTCCTAGCAGTTAGAATTCTAGCAATCTAGAGCCTAAAAACCAGGGCTATTAAGAACAGTTATAGCTAAAAACAGCCTGCTCTCTGAATGGTTGTCCTGTAACTGCCATTGAGCTCAACCCTGTACCTCCTTGCTGTGGTGGGGGGTGGGGCTCTCTGTGGTCATCAGAACAAGAAAGTTCTGTTTTATTCAGACTGGCACTGAGGCCATGCTACCCAGCGACCATGGATTTCTCAGTGTTACCAGGAGGCCTGGAAGGGAGATGGGTGGTAAATGAATAAGAACCCCGGAGCCAAGAAAGTATCCCCCGTGGAGGTGAGTTTCTGTGCTGATGTGTCTCTCTCTAGTGCTTATGAACAGAGCATAGAACTAGTACTTCTTATATAAGAATGAGTTCCTTCCTTTCCAATAGCATCTTCCAGAAAGGCAGTGTTAAGTCAAGAATTTGAGTTGAGTTAGTTTTAAGAATAGATATTTTTTCTCACATTATCATTTTAGGTGGGAGCTAACAGCTTCCATTGATGCTTGAAGCAGTCATCTTTGGAGATTTTTAAAATAGCATCATAATGCAAATTAGGTTATGTAAGCTTTACAGCACAGCTAGAAATAGGGAATAGAAACCTTGTGGGAATCTGGACCAAAGAATTTCTCTCCCTCCAGCAAATTGCTATGGGGCTTGAGAATTAGTTAATAACACTGAAGTGCTTTGAGTAGTACCTGGCACATAGTTAGTACTCAGGAACTGTTGACTGTCCTTCCCATGGTTGGCTGAGGTGACAAAATATGTGAGGGAGGCAAGGCTGTGCTGGCAGGTAGCTGAGAAGCAGGTGTGTGGCCTGCTCAAGGGGGAGCTGTGTTGGTTCCTTAGTGCTGACAGGGTTAGGGTGCACCCGGGCTTTGGGAGAGGCCTGTCCTAGCATCTGGGGGTTAGACAGGAAACACAAAGCACACACTTAGTGAGAGCTAGTGTGTGGGGGGTCACTGCAGATCTGTGCTAAATGAAAAGGCTCACTTCTCTGCTGTGCTGGTGAAATCACTGGCCTGTCTGCTGCCGGGGTTCATAACTACTTGCTGTGGGATTAAGTGTGCTTACAGAGGCTGAGCTTAGAATATCAGCCTGCTAATTCCAGGTTTCCTACCAGTGATCAGTAAGAAAAAAGAGTGTGTTTGATTACCACCAGTCCCTGAATCCAATGTTCAGTCACCAGTGCCTGGCAGGTAGAAAGCAAAATAAAAACCACAGAAAAGAAAGGAGTCTGGGTAGCATGCTTAGGCTGTTGACTCAGATGCTTCTCTGAATAGCATTCCTGCAGCTTCTCTATTCCAGTTTGTTTCAATACTTTGGAGGGGAAAAAAAAAATCTGTAATCATCACTACATCAGGCCTTCCTTCTGTCTGTCAATTTTAGAAACAAACCTGTCCATCCATCCATCCATCCATCCGTCGATTTATCTGTCTGTCCAGGCACAGTTGGTAAGTTGCATTTCAGCAAAAGGAAAAATGGGTAGGTGATAACTGTTGGATTGAGTAAAGGATATATGTCTTTCTGTCCATTTCTGGCCAGCATGTGTCTGTGGATGCCAGAGTCTTTGAGGAAAGGTGAGCAGATGTGTCCCTGTTTGCTGGCAGATGAGTTAAGTGGAGATTAAGTTCTGGGATGCTCTAAAGTTATAAAAACTGTGTAGACAGGACTGGACTGGGTGTTACCTTACCTTTAAAGACAAATAAGATAGATTTGCATTCTGTTCAAGAGGATTTTTTTAAACCCGAGATATTTGTGTAGCTAATGACCTGGTAGAAGTTACTCCTTTCCTCAGCTATGGCTGTATGATGACATCATTGCCTCATGGAGCCATGGTTGAGGGCAGATGTCTTTTTTGCCTAGACCAATCAGTTGTCGTATGTTAATTACTTGGTCCTTCTAAGGAGGGTGTTGGTCTTTCTTGGCAGAACTTTGCCATTTCTTCAAACAAACTGTGCTGCCTCTGCTGGTGGGTAGCATGGAACTGGCCACCATCCACCAGGGCAGTTTAAGCGTCTGATTAGCCTGGTTGCTGTGAGGACATTCTCTTACCACCGCCTAGGAGCCCAGTCTCTCTCTGTTTTGTTTCAGTTTCTCCTATTTTGATCCTTTTGTGTGATTTAGATGACTTATCTCTGCATTCAAATGTCAGCTAAATGTCCCAGGTAAATAAATTAACAGTAGCCTTCAAATTAGGTCATTTTGGGCTGTGGGCAGCAGTAGTTTGAAGAAGCAGGAATGGAAGAAAGGAAAGAACAAAGAAACATGCTAAAATTGGTATACAGTAAACCCTCAATTTAATGGACTTCGGATTTAATGGACTTCAGATTTAATGGATACAATTGCCAGTCTGTATGTTAATTTAAAAATGATTTTAACCAAGACTTGCTTATAATTAAATTAACAGGGTTTCTTTTGTTATCAATTCACTTATTTTTAACAAAATTTAGCAAATAGGCCGTATGTTGGAAAAACCACTGTAGTAATTTTGCTGCCATAAATATTACATATTTACAAGTATAGTCTACATCGTTAAATCCAAGTCACCGCTCGTAAACAATGTTGGGCGAATGATTAGCACCTGCTCACCCCGCATCGCACAAGGTGACTGGTTCTGAGAGAGGACTTTCTGCAGCAGTTTTAAGGTGTGCCAGGTGATGTTCCCACGCCCTGGCCCTGAGCATTTTTGTTTACTCACGGTGACTGGTGAATGCATGCATTTACTACACCTACTCAGTATTACATTTAAAATTACAGTAATGCATATAGAAGACTGTTCTGTGAAATTAAATTGTTCATGCATATTTAATTATTACACAAACCTGTACATGAGTAAAAACAGGTAAACTAATTTGTCAAATTTTTAACATACACTTTCAGAAAACCTCCTTTATTATATAATGGGCTTTCAGCTTTAATGGAACACCCCTTGCTCGAATTAGTTCATTATATTGAAGTTTTACTGTATTGTCTGTGCCAGGCACTGGACATTCTTAATTCTCAGGCAACCTTCAGGAGGTGGTATTATCTCTATTTTGCAGATGAAAAAAAAATGAGGCTGAGTTGAATGCTGGAGTGCCAGAGCCTCTTTCCACTACACATGCTATGGCTTAAATGTCTGGGGATGAAGATGGGCGGCCGGTCGGGAGACAGGAAGGAGGTATGCGCAGTGGGCAGGGCCCAGAGGAGCTGTGAGGGCCTAAACCAGCCGGGACTTTGCAGGATCTTTTGAGCTCAGGCTTAGAAGCCACCCTAGTCTCCTGGGCTGGAATATAGGCTCTCTGTCTTGATCTCATTTTAGACAAGATATCCTGGTTGAAAATAGAGCTGTTTTCTTTCTGACCAACTGAAAAAGATTATTTAACTAGCAAGATAGACTTGAAGAATAAGGTGTGGCTGTATAAACTGAGGAAGCTTTTGTATTGGTAGCTTGTTTTTATTTGAAGATCAATGAGAAATTGAGGTATGTTTTCATTTAGCTAATTAATGCTTTCTGAGTACACTCTGTCTGGCCTGAGGTTGGTGATATGTGTTAAAAGACTTGAGCCAGACTCTGAAGGAAGGCTGGTGAGGCTTTGACTCAGTGGGTCTCAGGAAGAGGGGCATGGTCGGTGGTAGCCCAGGTTTGGGGTGGAAGTGTAGGGAGGTTCTTGAGCAAGTGCTAAGGGCAGACTGCAGTGGTTGGTTGTGATAAGAGGGGCCTCCCCTGACCTGGGCTTTAGGGAAGCTGCCAGCCTTCACTCTAGGTGAGCCGTGCTGGAGGAGCCCTGCTGG